GTCGTTAGAGCCAGTCTTTATCTGTGTGAAGTACAATAAACGTGTGCTACAGTATGTCGTCGTCTGAGTCCTCCATGCGGCGAACCCAGTACTTTTCAGGAAAACCCCCCTGAAACAATAGGGACAAAAGAGTGACAGAAGTGACCATGCATTCTCTCTCAGCCTAACCCACCTCTCAGCTTCCCGTTTGTTGGCCCCAGTCTTCACCTTCGAGAAACTGAGAACCAGGAGAAAAGAAAAACAGAAGATGGCCTCCACAGTGACACTCTACATATTTCCTCATGTTTCTGTGATCTTAAATATAGAGATGGGGGGGCTTCCGGTCTGGCTCCCGCGAAAGGCAGACGCATCCTCGGGTCGCTCCCGAGGGCGCCTTGCCCGCCCGCGGTGGAGGAGGGAATCCGCGCGGCGTAACTGTGAGTTGTCAAAATACAGAGAAAATGAACTAAGAACGTTTCCCCCCCCCCCCTTCAGCGGAAAATGAGGAGGTTAATCCTCTATAAGCGAGAAAGAAAAAAAAGAAAAGAGGGGGGGCATGGACTGAGCGAATAGTGATGTTTTCCTTTGATGTACTTGAAAATAAGCAAGAGGTTTTGTTTCCCTGGAGCGCATTTTAAAAACTTTACTAAAAATAAAAAAACAAGATGTCGGAGCTGGGTAAAGACAAGCGGAGGAGAAGGGAGGGACTTCCGTCTGGGCGTTTGTGTCAACGTGAGTGCCGGCTGTTTAATATTTGGACTGTGTATAGCTATGAATCCAACGGGGATTGTGAAGGAAAAGAAAAGTTTGAATTGTGACAGCGAAAAGTGCCTCATGAGCGCTTATAAAAGTCAACAATTGAAGAGGAGAATCCAGCGAAGAGATTGGGAGCGATAAAAGCGAAATTGAAATTAATACCATTCTCAAAGCTGGAGATCTCCGGGCATGGCATGAAAGGAAGACGACTTATAGCACAGGAACTGAAAGAGTTAACAGCGACCCGAAGGAGGAGGGGAAGAAGCCGGAGGGAGAGAAAAAACAGAGGAAGCCCCTCCCGTCACTGAGAGTGGAAAAGTAACCAGCACGTAAAAGAAGCGGTTTTGAATGTGCCCTGAAGAAACTTTTTAACAGAAACTCAAAGGAACACTACTAACATACTAATACAGAAAGTAACTGGAATGGAAAAAAGATGTTTGACAACACGCAGAAGAAGCCTTTGATGATTGGACATTACTAACAGTTTAATCTAACAGTTAATAGATCACTCAGCTTTTCCTTCGTCCCACTATATACCTTCCCTATTTTTCTTTTTAAGCGAAACTCCTCCCCTTTTTAGGGGAGTTAATAAAATCTTTATAAAAAAAAAAATATAGAGATGGGGGAGGGATTCCTAGAGCGTCACCCAGCAGTGACATCCTCTCCAAAACCCACCCTTCTCAGGCGCTTCCCTCAAAAGAAGACGAAGAAGAAGAGATTGGATTTATACCCCGCCCTTCACTACCCAAAGGTGTCTCAGAGCGGCTTACAAACTCCTTCCCCTTCCCCTCCCCACAACAGACACCCTGTGAGGTAGGCGGGGCTGAGAGAGCTACTGACAGAAACCTCTTTTTCAAGAACAGCTCTTATCAGAACTACGGCTTGCCCAAGGCCATCCAGCCAGGTGCAAGTGGAGGAGTGGGGAATCAAACCCGGTTCTCCCAGATTAGAGTCCACGCACTTAACCACTACACCAAACTGGCTCTCCCTGCATGTGCTGAGACAGTATGGGCAACAGTACTTACCTCAAAGGGTTGTTGTGAGGATAAAACAGGGAAGTGTCACGTACACTTCCCTAAGCTCCTTGGAGTAAACGATAGAGATGAAATTGAGGAATAGAATGGAGAAGACTAAGTCAGGGGCAGAGGAGTAGCCAATGACTAGTTTATACATGGTAACTCAGGGCATCCGTTTCCATGTGAGGTTTTGACTAGGCCTGGCTTGTGTGAAGGGGAGCCCAGAGTGATTTTTTGTGGTGACAAGATGGCGGAGTGCTGAGGTGGCAGCATAGGCTTTAACACTTCAGACTGTAGGTTCCGTTTTTCCAGGTTCCCGATAAGCAAAAAACCTAGCTTAGCATCCCAAGAGATCGGCTAGCACCTTTCACTCTAGAGAACTCAATTTTTAATTTGTGGGTTGTGTGCTGGCCCTGATGTTTCAACCACGGTCCTCAAGAATAAGCCCCAGAGCCTTAGGGCCAAAGTATGAGGTCTGGAAATAGAAAGAACCCCTGATTACCTTTCAGGGAATTTTGGGTTTCGGCCTTTAGAGAATGCCATTGGCTAGCATGAGATAAAGCCCCCACGTGTGGTAAACGTGTGATCTACTACGTATTGAAGAGGACTAGAAAGGCAACGTGTTTAAAGATTCGGTAACTAGCCGTTGAACCAAAGTAGCAGATGTGTGTGTGTGGGGGGAACACCTGGATCACTTAGGGTTGCCAGGTCTGACTCGGGAAATATCTGGGGACTTCGGGGGTGGAGCCAGGAGACTTCGGGGGTGGAGCCAGGAGACTTCGGGGGTGGAGCCAGGAGCAAGGATGTGACATCACTTTTGTGATGTCACTAGGTGATTGAACTCCGAAGGGAGTTCTGGTTGTCACATTTAAAAGGCATGGGCGTGGATGAGGGAGAGCTGACAGAACTGCAAGAAGGAACCTCAGCTGGCCCCTCTGAAGCAGCAGAGAAGGATAGCTGGCAAGTGCCTGTAACAGCAGTCTTCACACCTGGCCCAGATAAGGGGGCAGAATTGCAAGCTGAAAGCCCTCCTGACTCACCCCCATGTGTGACTCGTTTAAGGGAGTGACTGCAGCAAAACTTAGCAACCAGGCGACAAGAAGCCAGGCTACAGGGAAGACGTTTGGCTAGCCCAGAGTTCTAACAGGAGCCTGGGTGATCGTGCAGCTGGCTAATTGGTAGCAGCATTTAACTCCACACTCTGGGCAGTACTCTTTGTGGAAGCAACAAGTTAGCTTTGTGCTGCTTACATCCACTTTGGCTCAGCTCTTGCACTTAGACCTTCGGACCCCCTGATTTTGGATTTGGCTCTGTGTTCCTGGATTCTGACCCCGGCTTGGCTTTTGGGACTACGCTTGTGGTTAGTGATTTTGGATCTGGCTCTGTGTTTCCGGCTCCTGACCCCGGCTTCGCTTTGGACTTTGCACTGTCTTCTTGGCTCCTGACCTTGGTCTGTTCTGGACTCCCTTTGACTGGCACCCCAGCCCATGACAACTGCATTCCTTCTAAATGCTTTCCCTCCACTGGAAATAATGGAGGATGGGGGCACCTCCTTTTGGGACTCATAGAACTGGACCCCCTGGTCCAATCTTTTTGAGACTTAGGTAGGTATTTTTTAGGAGAGGCACCACCAGCTATGCGGAAAATTTGGTGGCTCTGCCTCAAAAAACAGCCCCCTTCCCGAACCCCATAGATCAATTCTCCATTATACCCTATGGGGACTGGTCTCCATAGGGTATAATGGAGCAGCCATCTCCCCCCCCCCCACCGCTTTCTGACAGCCCTGAATCCCCCCCAGACCAGGGGATCTCCTACCTCCAACTGGGGATTGGCAACCCTAGGATCAACACTAGGAGACCCTGGTGGTGACTCACATGACTATCATGACACTTGGTCATGCAAGAGATGGATATATGGCTGGCATGAGCAGGACGTGCGAAGTCTAACAGAAATGAGTCTAAGGAGCAAGTCTAAGAGACACTAGCCTGAGAAACACAAGGCCAGGTCTAATGGAAACGAGTCTAAGGGCGAACATTAAGGGTCACATGGCCAAGGGCCAAGTCAATGGGAACAGAAAGGCTAAGTAAGGAGGAACTTACTAGAGATCAGGTTAGTAAATGTAAAGGTTCCCTTGCTCGAAAGCCAGCCGAATCCGACTCTAGGGTTGCGAAGCTCATCTCCGTTTCAAAGCCGAAGAGCCAGCGCTGTCCGAAGACGTTTCCGTGGTCATGTGGCCGGCATGACTAAACACCAAGGCGCACGGAACGCTGTTACCTTCCCACCGAAGCGGTACCTATTTATCTACTTGCAAGTTCTTGCTTTCGAACTGCTAGGTTGGCAGGAGCTGGAACTAGAGACGGGAGCTCACTCGGTCATGCGGCACTCGGGTCTCGAACTGCTGAACTACTGACCTTCCACAGCCTGCAGTTCAGCGTCTTAACCACTTGAGCCACCGCAGGTCAGGTTAGGGCTGGGGAAATTCTTGGAGATTTGTGGGTGGAGCCTGGGGAGGGTGCAGTTTGGAGGGGAAGGAACTCAGCTGGGATGCAATGCCAATTTCCACCCTCTGAAGCTACCATTTTCTCCAGAAGCATTGATCTCTGTAGTCTGAAGATCAGTTAGAATTCTGGGAGAACTCCTGGCCCCACCAGGCGGTTGGCGACTCCAGCTACATCTTCAAGGATCATAGAGTTGGAAGGGGCCTCCAGGGTCATCTAGTCCAACCCCCTGCACAATGCAGGAAATTCACAAATACCTACCCCCTAAACACCCCCAGTTCCAGAAGATAACAAAACACCTCCAGGATCCCTGGGCAAACTGGCCTGGAGAAAAATGGCTTCCAGACCCCAAAGTGGCGATTGGCATTTCCCCAGGCGTGTAAGAAAGGGCCACAAGAACTAAGCACTGAGGCAACCCTTCCTGCCTTCCGTCTCATGATCTGCCTCAGTTCACAGAATCCGTATGGCTGTCAGATGGCCATCGAGACTCTGCTTAAAAACCTCCAGAGAAGGAGAGCCCACCACCTCCAGAGGAAGCCTGTGCTGCCCCGGCCAGTGTTTAAACTGTAGTTAAGTACAACTGCCATATATCTTTAAGAGCAGTGGTTCTTGGGAATTAAAGTCTTTAGTTAGACATCCCACAGCATCCGGCACACAGAGGCGCGCGAGGATTCGAGTTTACAGCTCTCTTCCCGTGGCCTTTGTTCTTTTTAAACGGCAAGGAGGTGGGACGCGCAATCCTTTTCACCATAAGCCAGTGAACAGAATTAGATTACCAAAGATGTAAGAACTCTTCTGAGTGCATGTGGAACTGAATAAAAATGATTTAATTCTACTTTGGCCATGCGTTGAATCTGTCCAGAAGGCGTTGTTGACTCAGCGTCAGACAGAACAGTGAAAAGGATTGAACCACTTGAACTGTCAGGAAGTTCTTCCTAATATTTAGCCGAAAACCCCTTTGATTTAATTTAATCATAACTCTAGGCTTTTTAGCAGAGCCCATTTCAGAATCACTACACCTCCTAAATCTCCTCCAATTCACCTCAGCCCTTTCCTTTTATCTCCTTCCCTAGTCCCACCCCTCTAGCTCTTAAGCCAATGGGAAAGCAGAATGGCATGGCATAGCGGAGGTGGCTGGAAATTTGACAGAAGGAACGGCAGGGTATGGGGGGGGGGGAGAAAAATACTGCAAGAGTTCTAGACACCATGGTAACGGGGTTACTTTCACTACACCAGGAGTCCCCAACATGGTGCACATCAGCACCTTTTCTGGCACCTGCCAGATGTTTTTAGAAAGTGGGGTGGGGCCACTTAGGGCTTTTATCCAGCAAGTTTTCTGATTGGCTGTTGGAGATCTCATTAGCTGTGCAGATTTTTAAAAAACTGGCTTTGACTGCAGCTGCCACCACAGCAAAATGGGTCTTTGCTGTGTGTGACCGGTGATAAGCTGTGTGTATGCAAGAAATTGTCTTTAAATAATATGCGTTTTCAAAGGTATTGTGTAAGACAAAGCTTGTGCTTCAAACGGTGAAGAAGAGGAAGAGGGAGGAGGAGGAGGAGATATATTTTGTACCCCGCCCTTCACTTGGAGTCTCAGAGCGGCTTACAAACCCTTTTCCCTTCCCCTCCCCACAACAGACACCCTGTGAGGTGGGTGGGGCTGAGAGAACTCTTGACAGAAACTGCTCTTTTTCAAGGACAGCTGTGCCAGAGCTTGTGACTGACCCAAGGTCACATCAGCAGGTGCAAGTGGAGGAGTGGGGAATCAAAGCCGGTTCTCCCAGATTAGAGTCCGCACACTTCACCACGACACCAAACTATTCAATTTAATATCTGATGGAATATTACTCGACTGCAGGGCTATTTTTGGGCAGGAACGCACAGGAACAGAGTTCCGGCTGGCTCCCAAGTTGGCCACACCCAGCAGGAACCCATTAGCATAATAGGCCACGCCCAACAGCAGAAATTCATTAGGATTGGCTACTTTAGGGGTATGTGGCCTAACATGCCTGTTACAAAAAGCCCTATGTTTTGACAACAAACAAGGTAAACAGAATAAGAAGCAAAAGGTGGGTGTGGCTGGATGACCACACTTCTGGTAACATGGGGTGCGGCCTAGTATGCTAATGAGCTGTGTTATCAGGGGTGTGGCCTAATATGCTAATGAGGGATGTGGTCAATTATGCTAATGAGTTCCTGCTGGGCTTTTTCTACAAAAAAAGCCCTGCTCGACTGTTTGTACTGCCTTTGGTGGTAGGGGGGGGTTGTCTGCTTGCTGATTTATTTGAAGTAAGGAAAGTTAGTTCTACCTGCTCTGGCAGCCGTTTTGTGGTTGCACCCCACCTCCTCTGGCAGTAGGGTTGCCAATCCCCAGTTGGGGGGTAGGGGATTCACCTGGTTTGGAGGCCCTCCCCCTGCTTCAGGGTTTTCAGAAAGCGGGGTGGGGGAAATGTCCGCTGGGCACTCCATCATACCCTATGAAGATTGGTCCCCATAGGGTATAATGGAGAATCAATCCACGGATATCTGGGGTTCTGGGTGGGGTTGTTTTTTGAGGTAGAGGTATCTGGTGCCTCTCCTCAAAAAAACTCCCAAGTTGCAAAATTTTGGACCCAGGGGATCCAGTTCTATGAGCCCCAAAAGAGCTCCCTTATTTCCAATGGAGAGAAGGCCTTTAAATGTGACAGCCATAACTCCCTTTGGAGTTCAATCAAACTGGAGGCTCCTGTAGGGTTGCCAGGTCCGGGTTGGAAGAAACCTGGAGACTTTGGGGGTGAAGCCAGGAGAGGGCGGGGTTTGGGGAGGGGAGGGGCCTCAGCATGGTGCAATGCCCTAGAGTCCACCCTTCAAAGCAGCCATTTTCTCCAGGGGAGCTGATCCCTGTCAGCTGGAGATCAGTTGTAAAATTGGGGGATCCCCAGGACCCACCTGTAGGCTGGCAACCCTAGGCTCCTGGAAAGGCCGCCACTGGCCTGTCAGCGTCACCTGGCAATCCTAAATGGTACGAGTGTGTGGCTTGGGTGGAGAATCAGTTGAGAGCAACCTCTGTGCTAGAAGCACAAACTCCTACCATGAAATCCTAGGAACCTTCTGGATATGGGGGGGGGGGGGGGGAGCCCTGAGAGGACCTGGAAGTGATATCACAGGATGTGACATCACAAAAGTGATGTCACACCCTGGCTCCACCTCCAAAGTCCCCAGATCTTTCCTGAGTCGGACCTGACAACCAATGTTCCCTCTGAGCTGTGGAGTCCTGTGAGCAAAAATTCTACTTTGTGAGCTACGGGCCTTAAAGTTGTGAGCGAGCGATTTGGTGACTGCATAAATCAGTTTGCTCTGGAGCCGTCCTTCCTGAGCTAAGACAAAACACTGTGAGCTGTAGGCTAAAAAACTGTGAGCTAGCTCACACTAACTCAGCTTAGAGGGAACACTGCTGACAACCCTATCTGGCAGCCATTATGTGGTTGCCCTCCACCTCCTCTGGCAGCCATTTTGGGGCTGGCCTTGGTTCCAGTGGCACTGCAGCCATTTTATGGTTGCACCCACCACCCTGTTTCAGATTCCAAAGGTGGCTACAGGACCCCTGCACTATACCATGTTGCCATCAGCCGCGTCCCCATCCACCCACCTAAAAAGTGAATTAGTGAATCATTGTATCTGCCTCATACAGAGGTGCCAACAAACACACACACCCCCAGCGGTACGTACATCTGCAGCCTTCTTCTCAGCCAACTCGAGCTTCTCCTGTGCATCTTTGAGAGCCTCAGAATATTTGTCCAGTTCGTCCTCTGTCCCCTTCAGCTTCTTCTGCATGGCGGCCAGTTCATCTTCCAGCTACAGAATGAACAAGAAAGAGAGAAAGAGGGTCACTGCCTGGACACAGCACAGAAAACCTGTTCCCTTTCTCCCCATACACGGATGGGCGAGTGGGCGTCAACATGGCAAATGGGGTTCAATGTGGCCAAGTGCAAGGTGATGCACATTGGAGCCAAAAATCCTAAATATAAATACACATTGATGGGGTCTGAACTGGCAGAGACTGACCAAGAGAGAGATCTTGGAGTTGTAGTGGATAACTCACTGAAAATGTCGAGACAGTGTGTGACTGCAATAAAGAAGGCCAATGCTATGCTGGGGATTATTAGGAAGGGTATTGAAAACAGATCAGCCAATATAATAATGCACCTATATAAATCAATGGTGAGACCTCATTTGGAATACTGTGTGCAGTTCTGGGCACCACACCTTAAAAAGGATATTATAGCTTTGGAAAAAGTGCAGAAAAGGGCAACTCGAATGATAAAAGGGTTGGAACACTTTCCCTATGAGGAAAGGTTAAAGCGCTTAGGGCTCTTTAGCTTGGAGAAAAGACGACTGAGGGGTGACATGATCGAGGTTTATAAGATTATGCATGGGAAAGAGCAGGTAAAGAAAGAGGTACTTTTCTCCCTTTCTCACAATACAAGAACTCGTGGGCACTCCATGAAACTGCAGAGCGGTCGGGTTAGAACGGATAAAAGGAAGTACTTCTTCACCCAAAGAGTGATTAACACATGGAATTCACTGCCACAGGAAGTGGTGGGTGCTACAAGCATGGACGGCTTCAAAAGGGAATTAGATAAGCATATGGAGCAGAGGTCCATCAGTGGCTATTAACCACAAGGTATAGCTAGGGGCTCTGGGGCAAGTGATGCTCCGTCTTCTTGGTGCTTGGGGGGGGTCAACAGTGGGAGGGCTTCTAATGTCCTGGCCCCACTGCTGGACCTCCTGATGGCACTGGTATTTCTGGCCACTGTGTGACACAGAGTGTTGGACTGGATGGGCCTTTGGCCTGATCCAACGTCTCTTATGTTCTTACTCCTCAGATGCATCCTAATATTTAAATCTTCCCTTGTTATCAAACACATTTCAAAGGGAGGCGCCAGCAAGAAGCTGTTGAGTAGGAATTCACACGCAGATTTGATATTATCAGACCTGGACTCCAGTGGGACTGGAGTGGTTAGTTCACTAGAGAAAATAATTGTTCTTCCCTATAAGTTCATATGTACGCTGTTTCCTGTTCATCCCAATTTGTTAATTCAGCTGTTGGGCTGGTCCACACCCACTGTGAGTGGATTGACTGGATGTCATTTCCATTTGTGCTGTGCCTTGTGAAGTCACACACATTTTCTTGGGAAACTTCTGGCCTGCCTTTGAAACAACAACCCCCCTTTCTTCTGTTTGCAGGTTTGGGTATATTTATCTCTGTCAATGGACTGTCAACACTTCATGCATCTGATGAAGTGGGTTCTGGCTCACATGGCATAATAAACAGTGGTTTTTGGTGAGTAGTGTGTGTGTGTGCGTGCGTGCGCGCATGCCTGGAAGTCATGGTTGGTTTCTATTGACCCCCTAGTGAGGCTTGAACATTTCAGAGAGGTGGCACTATTCCATGCCTCTGCCCTGCTGGGTCAGACCAGTGAGGGTCCCTCTAGTCCAGCATCCTGCCTCACACAGTGGCATCAACCAGTTCCTCTGGAGGGCCAACAACAGGGCAGAGAGGCCGAGGCCTTCCCCTCATAAGAACATCAGAAGAGCCCTGCTGGATCAGACCAGTGTGGGTCCATCTAGTCCAGCATCCTGCCTCACTCAGTGGCCTCAGCCAGTTCCTCTGGAGGGCCAACAACAGGGCAGAGAGGCCGAGGCTTTCCCCTCATAAGAACATCAGAAGAGCTCTTCTGGATCAGACCAGTTAGGGTCCATCTAGTCCAGTATCCTGCCTCACTCAGTGGCCTCAGCCAGTTCCTCTGGAGGGCCAACAACAGGGCAGAGAGGCCGAGGCCTTCCCCTCATAAGAACGTCAGAAGAGACCTGCTGGATCAGACCATTGAAGGTCCATCTAGTCCAGTATCCTGCCTCACTCAGTGGCCTCAGCCAGTTCCTCTGGAGGGCCAACCACAGGGCAGAGAGGCCGAGGCCTTCCCCTCATAAGGACACCAGAAGAGCCCTGCTGGATCAGACCAGTGAGGGTCCATCTAGTCCAGCATCCTGCCTCACTCAGTGGCCTCAACCAGTTCCTCTGAAGGGCCAACCACAGGGCAGAGAGGCCGAGGCCTTCCCCTCATAAGAACGTCAGAAGAGCCCTGCTGGATCAGACCATTGAGGGTCCATCTAGTCCAGCATCCTGCCTCACTCAGTGGCCTCAGCCAGTTCCTCTGGAGGGCCAACAACAGGGCAGAGAGGCCGAGGCCTTCCCCTCATAAGAACGTCAGAAGAGCCCTGCTGGATCAGACCAGTGAGCGTCCATCTAGTCTCACACTGTGGACTCAACCAGTTCCTCTGGAGGGCCAACAACAGGGCAGAGAGGCCGAGGCCTTCCCCTCATAAGAACATCAGAAGAGCCATGCTGGATGAGACCAGTGTGGGTCCATCTAGTCCAGCATCCTTCCTCACACAGTGGCCGCAACCAGTTTCTCTGGAGGGCCAACACCAGGGCAGGGAGGCTAAGGCCTTCCTCTGATGTTGCCTTCTGGCTAGGTTTGCCAAACCCCTGGTCTGGGGGGGTCCCCCGATTTGCAGGGCTTCAGCCTGCCACCAGTTGTACGGCTGGCAGGGGAGGCCCTGTCCACAAACCCTGTTCCCAACAAAGACCACCTGCAACCACCCCTCTTTCTCCCCTCCTGTGAGATTTAAAGGGCCCTCCAGAGGATCAGAGGAGCACGTGGCCCACCAATCAGCTGGAGGGCCCTTTAAATCTCGCAGGAGGGGAAGGAGAGGGGTGGCTGCGGGTGGCCGTTCTCAGGGGTGGGGAACTCCCCAATGTGATGTCATCATACTGGGGATGCCTCCACACACCCCTGGAACGCCGGGGATGAGGCCGGACCTGGCAGTCCTACTCCTGGCTCTGGGATTCAGGGGATGACTGCCTCTGAACATGGAGGTTCCCATGTAAATAAAACAACAGTTCTAAAACGGAGGAGGGAATTATGTCAGCCATTTCTGGTCCCCATTGGAGAGAAAAGCAGGGTATAGGTGAATGAATAAAATCTTTTGTGAAGTCTAATTTATTAGCTATTGTCAATATTTGGTAAAAAAATTAACGATTTCATAGAATCCTAGAGTTGGAAGGGACCTCCAGGGTCATCTAGTCCAACCCCCTGCACAATGTGGGAAATTCACAAATACTTCCCCCTCCACACCCCCAGTGACCTTTGATTCATGCCCAGAAGATGGCAAAAAAGCCCTCCAGAATCTGTGGCCAAACTGGCCTGGAGAACAATTGCTTCCTGATCCCAAAGTGGTGATCAGCACTTCCCTGGGCGTGTCAGAAAGGGCCAGGAGAACTAAGCACTGAGGCGACCCTTCCTGCCCTCCCTCTCGCGATCTTCCTCAGTTCACAGAATCAGTATTCCTGTCAGATGGCCATTGAGCCTGTGTTGGAGAATTTCCAAAGATGGAGAGCCCACCACCTCCCGAGGAAGCCTGTTCCACCGAGGGACCGCTCTAACTGTCAGGAAGCTCTTCCTAATGTTTAGCTCTATCTGTCAGGAAGTTCTTCCTCATTTGTTAGCTTCCTGAAAATCTTTTAGGGTGAAAACCAGGACGTAAATTTTCTTCAGTCCCTGCAGGCTTCCAACCTTCAGTTTGTGCAGTTCGGGAAGGGCTGCCCCGAGTTCTTGAATTCCCAGCTCAAAATAAACCGGCCCTGTCTGGAAATACAGAATGCTGAGCCTCGTGTGCCCCTTTCCTGTCCTATTGTCACCTCTTTGGTCACCCTGGAGCCATCCCGAGCACGGCCACGCTGGCCTTTCCCTCTTTTGTTTGCCGTTACTTTGTCAGCCTCGAGGAATGTGAAACTAGAACCCCTCAAGAGAAGGGACCCGGCCCGCACAACATGGATTCTCTCTGCCCACCCCTCCCCGCCTTCTGTGGAACGCACACCCAGGAAGGAGGGGAGCTGGTCAGGTTTAACCTTGCCACCAGGAGCCCCAGAATCAGCTTTCCGTTCTGAGTTCCAGTGATGGACGCCGTGAACAAATCATCAAGAAGGCCTCTGAACATGGGCAGAGTGCATTTTGCTCTTCACAGCTTCAAGCTCATATAGGGTTTCCAGCTCTGGATTGGGAAGTACCTGGAGACTTTGGGGGTGGAGCCTAGGTAGGGTGAGGTTTGGGAGGAGACAGAACTCAGCAGGGTATAATTCCATAGACCCCGCCCTCCAAAGCAGCCATTTTCTCCAGGGGGGACTGATCTTGGTCATTTGGAGATCAATTGTAATAGCTGGAGATCTCCAGGTGCTGCCTGGAGGTTGGCAGCCCTGGAGATCCAGTTGACTGGAGACAGTTCCTATTTTCTGGAATTTTTTCCCCTGCGGTGCAAGGCGGATTCCTTAGCCCTAGCTATGCTACAAATTTAAAATAGTTTAATGTCATTTTAATCAACATGGCTTTTAACCAAAGGGTCTTGGGAACTGTTGTTTCCTGAAGATGCAGAGATGCTACACTACCTCCCTGTAATTCCCAGAATTCTTGGGGGGGGGGGAATCGATGTGCTGTAGCATGTAAGAGCCTCCACTTTGCTTGCCGAGAGTCCCAGGTTCAATACCTGACGTCTCCAGTTAAAACGAACACACAGTAAGTGATGTGAAAACCGTCTGTCCAAAACACTGCAGAGCAGCTGCCAGTCTGAGTAGACAATACTTGATGGACTGAGGGTCTGATTCAGTACAGCTATAAAAACAGTAGCACAGCCACAAACAGACTTATGCACAAAGTACTACATACGTGGCTGTAGGGAATCAGTACAAAACTAATAACTACAGCTTATTAACCATAGAAGCATAGTTTGTAAGATAATGACTAGTAATAAACATATATCAAAGTCCTGGGGTTCCATGTCAGCGCTTGGCAGGGAGACCACCAAGGAAGGCTCTGCAGAGGAAGGCAATGGCCAACCACCTCTGCTTCTCCCTTGCCTTGAAAAGCTCCTTGCCGGAGCAGTTCTGTGCTGGAAGCTAAGTAGGGTCGGTACTTGGATGGGAGACCACCAAGGAAGGCTCTGCAGAGGAAGCCAACGGCAAACCACCTCTGCTTCTCACTTGCCTTGAAAGCCCCTTGCCAGGGTCGTTATGTGTTGGAAGCTAAGCAGGGTTGGTGCTTGGATGGGAGACCACCAAGGAAGGCTCTGCAGAGGAAGGCCATGGCCAACCACCTCTGCCTCTCACTTGCTTTGAAAGCCCCTTGCCTGGGTTGTTGTATGTTGGAAGCTAAGCAGGGTCAGTACCTGGATGGGAGACCACCAAGGAAGGCTCTGCAGAGGAAGGCAACGGCAAACCCCCTCTGCTTCTCACTTGCCTTGAAAGCCCCTTGCCAGGGTCGTTATGTGTTGGAAGCTAAGCAGGGTCAGTGCGTGGATGGGAGACCACCAAGGAAGGCTCTGCAGAGGAAGGCCATGGCCAACTATCTCTGCTTTTCACTCGCCTTGAAAGCCCCTTGCTGTGGTTGCCATAAGTCAGTTGTAACTTGAGAGCACATAGGTATGTACATAACACACGCATTGTACGGCAGGTGGAGAGCAGTTAGCATTGTGTGATGTGGGAGACTCAGGATCTCGGGTGTGAGAATTCTAAGCATGTTCCTATTTTCATCTGGGAGATGTTTCAAGGAACATTTCATGCATTTAGGATTAAGGCAAAAGATCGGGAGGAAAACAGAGACGACCCTCTCCTTGTGGCGCCTATCCCAAATGCAAACTGTGTGTGTGTGTGTGTCGTTTCTGCAAAAAGCCAAGTTTTAGTTGTTCTCTAATGAAACCAAGTCTTCCATTTCATTTATTTGAGGGGGGGGGGGGCTACACAGTTATGAAAATCACTAAGGAAAGGTGACTTCCGGCACAGGCGGTGAGGTCCGAGTATATTTGTAATTTGAGGGAAGGAAAATAGAGTTTGGAGCAGTGTTCCCTCTAAGCTGAGTGAGTGTGAGCTAGATCACAGGTTTTTTTAGCCTCTGGCTCACACATTTTTGTCTTAGCTCAGGAAGGATGGGGCTCCAGAGCAAACTGATTTATGCGGTAGCCAAATGGCTTGCTCACAACTTTAATGCTAGTAGCTCACAAAGTAGAATTTTTGCTCACGAGACTCCACGGCTTAGAGGGAGCACTGGTTTGGTGTAGTAGTTAAGTGCGCGGACTCTAATCGGGAAGAACCGGGTTTGATTCCCCACTCCTCCACTCGCACCTGCTGGATGACCTTGGGCAAGCCATAGTTCTGTCAGAGCTGTTCTCGAAAAAGAGCAGTTTCTGTCAAGATCTCTCTCAGCCCCACCTCCCTCACAGGGTGTCTGTTGTGGGGAGGGGAAGGGAAAGGAGTTTGTAAGCCGCTCTGGGACTCCTTCGGGTAGTGAAGGGCGGGGTATAAACCCAGTCTCTTTTTCTTCTTAAAGAAAGCATTTTTGTTTTCGATCAAGTTGCGAGACAATCTGACTGATATAGAAGCACCTTCTGCTTTTCCGGATCTTGGGGTTGAATAAATAAGAGACCTGTTTGTGGTTAGGCCTGCCTGCTCGGGCTTGGGAAATACCTGGAGTTTTTTTTGGGGGGGTGGAGCCCGAGGAAGGTGGGGTTTGGGGAGGGGAGCAACTTCAAAGGACCATAGCGACAAAGTCCACCTTCTCCAGGGGAAGGTGGTGGCGGCTACAAGCATGGACGGCTTCAAAAGGGAATTAGATAAGCACATGGAGCAGAGGTCCATCAGTAGCTATTAGCCACAAGGTATAGATAGGGACTCTGGGGCAAGTGATGCTCTGTCATCTTGGTGCTTGGGGGGGTCAACAGTGGGAGGGCTTCTAGTGTCCTGGCCCCACTGCTGGGCCTCCTGATGGCACCTGGTATTTCTGGCCACTGTGTGACACAGAGTGTTGGACTGGATGGGCCTTTGGCCTGATCCAACATTGGCATCTCTTATGTTCTTATGTTCTAAACTAATCTCTGTTTTCTGGGGATCGAACTGTAATCCCATGAGATCTCCAGCCACCCCCTGGAGGTTGGCAACCATATCTGCGGCAGAAAGCTTATCTAATGCTGGACAGAGTGGCCAGTTATACCCCCCCTCCCCCGTAACTCTCTGTCCCTCCGCTTTCCACTGCCAGTCCCCATTTTAGTTGGCTGGCAGTAGCTAAGATTTCTGATTTCTCAAAAACCCTCAGTGGCTAAGTGCCTCAGCCAATTGAAAGCCCAAGGCACGCTGGACTCTCTGCCCCCAAAATAGAACGTGAAACAGTTAACTATTAGGGGACCTTCAGAGAGCTAACTGCTGTCCACTCCTGTTTGTCTGTATCATTTGCTGCCATGATCACTGGGAAAGCGACATGCCCAGAGCGACTAACACAGAGAACAGACAGGCAGCCTCCTCTGAGCCCAAGTAGCGGCCACTGCATCTCTGCATGATGAGTGATCAAATGACACGAATCGTACTCAACACGGAGAGGCGGCAGCGTCTGTCCCCGTCGGAGGACTGTGTGTCTACTCAGACTGGCAGCAGCTCTCCGGGGTCTCAGGCGGAGGTCTTTCACATCACCTGCTACCCCATCCTCTAACAGGAGATGCCAGGGACTGAACCTGGGACCTTCTGCATGCCAAGCAGATGAGAAGAGGAAGAGGAAGAAGAGGGAGGGGAGGGGGAGCAGGGGGGAATTGGATTTATACCCCACCCCTTACTCGGAGTCTCAGAGTGGCTTACTATCTCCTTCCCTTCCTCTCCCCACAACAGACACCCTGTGAGGTAGTTGGGGCTGAGAGAGCTCTTTTGAGGACTGCTCTTAAGAGAACTGTGACTGACCCAAGGTCACCCAGCTGGCTTCATATGGAGGAGTGGGGGATCAAACCCTGTTCTCCAGATTAGAGACTGCCGCTCTTAAGCACTACACTAAACTGAACCCTACTCAGACGGGCAGCGGCTCTCCAGGGTCTCCGGTAGAGGTCTTTCACATCACCTACGATCTGGTCCTTTTTAACGGGAGATGCCGGGGATTGAACCTGGGACCTTTTGCATGCAAAGTATGAGTTCTGCCACTGAGCTGCAGCCCCTTCTCAGACTGGCAGCGGCTCTCCAGGGTCTCGGGCAGAGGTCTTTCACATCACCTACTGCAGGGTCCTGCACAGTTTGGTGTAGTGGTAAAGAGCAGCGGACTCTAATCTGGGAGAACCGGGTTTGATTCCCCACACCTCCAAATGTAGCTGCGGATGTGACCTTGGGTCAGTCACAAGTTCTGTCAGAGCTGTTCTCTCAAGAGCAGTTCTCTCAGAGCTCTTTCAGCCCCACCTGCCCCGCAGGGTGTCTGTTGTGGGGAGAGGAAGGGAAAGGAGATTGTAAGCCACTCCGAGTGAAGGGCGGGGTATAAATCCAATCTCCTCCTCCTTCTCCTCAACTGAAGATGCTGGGGACTGAACCCGAGACTTTCCGCAAGCTCTGCCATTGACCTATAGTCCCTCTTGCCGAGGAAACAGACCCTTAGTACGGAAACCTCCCTTGTCATCGCCCTGCTCCAATTCCAGCTCAGCTCGGCGGCCCCAATCCAGCAGCCCCCCCTACCTGCTTGCTCCTCTCTTCGGCTTGCTTCTGTTCGGCCTCGGCCTGCTCCGCCCGGTCCAAGGCGTTCTCCTTGTCCAGCTTCAACATCTGCATCTTCTTCTTAATGGCCTCCATGGTGGTGGTGTGTGCGAGTGACTGGACCGAGGAGAACCGTCCGTGTGGGGCACGGGAGAGCGGGAGCCACCTGGGGAGTCAGCAACCTCCTGTCTGCCTCTGCGCCCTTTATAGCCCCCCTTCCTGCCAGCTGGCGCGGGGGCTTTGCCTTTCTTGGGCCCCTGGGGGGGGATGCGGGTGGGAGGGGAGTGCCTCACCGCCCTCTGCTCCCAAAATGTCCCTCTTCAGGGACCTATTGTCCCAGTGCCGGCCCGCGGAGGGTGTGGAGGATGCTTACATAGTAACTCCAGGGTCGTGGCCATATTTGGGCTCTCTGGGGGACAGCTGGGAGCCACTTATAGCAACCCCCAGGCAGGGGAAGGTGGCCGGGCCTGGGGGGGGGGCGGTTTGCTTTGTTCCAGGAACGGGCCGCCTCCCCCTCCCGTCTTTTCACAGACTGCCAGGTGGATTAAGCCATGCGGTTCTGTTAACACATGCACAGCCGGTCTTGCCTCCCCCCCCCCCCCCCCCCCCGCCCCCCCAAGGAAACAAGAGCAGCAGGCTGGAAACTAGGACTCCCGGGTCCCGTCGCAGGAGAAAAGAGCAAGAGTCCGGCAGCAGAGCCAGTTTGGTGTGGTGGTTAGAAGTACGGACTCTAATCTGGGAGAACCGGGTTTGATTCCCTGCTCGTCCACAGGCAGCTGCTGGTGTGACCTTGGGTCGGTCACAAGTTCTCTCACGCCTGTTTTCTCAAGGGCAGTCCTCGAAAGAGCTCTCTCATTCATAACGTGTTCTGCAGGAAGTGTTGGTGGTTCATCAAAGCAAAACACCAGGGTGCATCGTGAAGATTTTGAGGAATTTCTATATGCTGTCCTCTTCAGAGATCCGCTGCATTATGTTTATAGTTTTTAATACTGTATATTTTCCCCAGTTCCTAAAGAAATGGTTTAGGGGACCATTAACAATGCCTGAGCTGTAAATTTTAAAGGAGGAAAAAAGAATAACTGGTGTTTAGTATTTTTACCGTCTGGCCCTAATGTAATAAAAACCAGCAACAAACTTTAAAAAAAAGAAAGAAAAAAAGAAGAAAAAGCTCTCTCAGCCCCACCTACCTCGCAGGCTGTCTG